CAAGTCAGACATACTGAGGGCGCAAAGAAGTTCCAGGAATCCTTCACAGGCAGGAGGTATCAGTGGTTCCCCAGGGGTCCACTCCTCTGTTGTGCAATGTGTTGCCCAGAGGCAACACAATGATGTCTTTACCAGAAGCTGCTTGTAGATCACCAGCAAAAAAGTATTAAATGGAATTTAACCCAAAAAAACCCAAAACACTTGAGGGGCCGCATCTGGCCAGGCTGGATAGGTCTGATGTACACACAGCCTGTATCACAAAACTTCACTCTGTCTTGAGGTATGTGAAAAGCTTGCATCAACTAAAATTTTGAAACTCTCAGAATGGTGGAACTGAATCTAAAATATGTAGAACAGGTATATGCCAGACAGTTAGGTTACACAAAGACTGGGACCTGGATAAACTCAGCAGGAGTCCTGAGACCAAACTAGAGACCATATGCACAGTGGAAGCTGTATTACGAATTTATAAGTTCTTCTTTTAGTTGGAAAGGTTTCTAGACAAAAAACACTTGGGTTTTGATACATATTCTATCTGAACTCTTCCAAAAAGGAGTGAAACGATGCTTTTAACTTGGATTGGGACACCTTACCATTCTTCAGTATGCTTAATTCTTTAAGAGATCACTCCTGATAAAATAGCAACTTACTAACCAAAGAGAAGATCACTGCTAAGAGAAGTGAAGAGCTTGCTTTATCTACTAGCCGCTCACACTAAGTTCTACCAACAGTTTCCTTTACCATTCAGGTACCTTTGCTGATCTAAGAATTCCTGTGCACTAACATATAAGTATGATCTACATATGTATAGATCTATGTATATGCTCTCTCTTGCTATATACATACATTTTTCTTAATATTACCTATTAAACTTCCATCAAAAAGAAGCCAGCACATGGGAGTAATTCTGCAAATGTTCTTGGGGAATCTCTGTTTTAACTCTCACTTAGATTTCTTGAAAGCAAGAACCCAAAGTCATGGCTTTCAATTCACCTTTTTTACCTCCTACGGAAGGTATGAATTTATATGGTAAATTGAAGCCTGCTGACAAAGTCTTTACTTAACTACCTTTTGTGGTCCAGATTATTCAATCCACAAAGCGAATTAAACCCACTGAAATATTTTCTATTAACATCATCTTTCAGGTCTGTAAAGAATGGTAAAAGTCTTTGGTGTAAGCAGCTGCTTTCTGCTAACTGCAAAAAATGGGAGTACAACATATTCCAGCCAGCTACTTTCCAGTTAAACTGCACTGAGCACATCCTTTTTACCTACAGAGAATGAAGGTTTGCTCAAGTCTGCTACACCTTGTTCTGCAGGAAACATAGGAAGGGCAAAGAGATGGGAAATCAGATTGTTATTCAATTATCACTAACATTTTGCTTCTACAGTCCCTACTCTGCCTGCAGCTTGTCTTGCAGTTCAAGTATAACTGCCTTTCCTTGCTGATTAAGCTCTCTTATTACTAACTAGAATGTATTTAATTCTATTCAAGTTTGCAACAGAATACTTTCAAGAATGCTACATAAAGATGCTTTGCTTGACTTAAGAGTCACCTTCTCAGAGTACTACTATAAAGTTTTTGTGCCCACACTCACTTGCTGTCTGGATGAACAATATCTGGGACATTTTATCTTGGGCTACTTAAAAATATTCCAGAGTAGCGATTTCAAGTAAATAAGAAGCTGGAGAGTAGATTCCACTGTAATTAGTACATAGAAATCAGAACATCATGCAACAAGATTAGGTAATAGTGTCTATGGTAGTCCACAATTTCCATCATGCTTGGTTCTAGTACTGATTTATAGCTTCAGAGGTTGCTGAAACAGGCAAGGAAAGTCCAAACAGCACGGCCAGTTATTCAACCGTGAAAACACAAGAGAGGCACTTTTCCACCTGTAGCAAAACATAACTTCACGCTCAACACCTGCAGCAAGTGCAAGTTTTCTGCTCATCTGCCAGACAGATGAATAGGTGCAATGCTGGAAAGGAGAGCAAGAGCATGGCAAATCGGCCACTCCTTTCAGACACTTCCGAAATAATTCAACTTCACAGTCAGTCACAGGGAGTAAAGGACAGTTACAATTCCTTAATACAATGCTGACCAACGCAGAAAATTAAAGGTTTATGATCAGTCCCTTCTCCAGCCCTCCTACTGCCAAGAATACTACAGGTTTTCCACAACTTTTGCAAGTCATGGTGTTTCCATAAAACAACACAATGCAGTATCCATGAGGCCTGTGTATCTTTGTAAATCCAGTCCTGATCCACTGCTTCTCTTAACTTTCTAAGGTAATGATGGTGGCTCCCCTACAACAGGCTATATTTAATTGTTGTCAGGACTATCACTCTAGAATGACAGCCATGGAAGCTTGCACCAGACATCAAAGGGAAGTGAACGGCTTTACTGCACTTGTAAAATGTCAAATTTGTAAAGTGACACAAATTTTCAAAGACTTCTTGTAGTTATCACCAACGCTGCTCTTTAGATTATCACTGTATTCACTTCCATCTCTTCTTTTCTACCAATTCTTAAGAATTTGATCTTCTTCGTAATTTATTCCCAACAGGTACTCTCAATTGCTTTCTTCACTTGTTCCACTTCCCTCCCTAGCATTCTGAATGGAATGGGACCGCTAGAGGCTTAGTAAACATATTTTTTTACTGATCTCTCCATCCATTCTGTAGAATCCACATTTCTAGATTTGAGTGCTAAATACAGCAACACTTCCCAAGCTACCACTGGCTATCCGTCTGCAGCTGCAGCTTGCTAAGGCAATTCCCCGCTCAACAAAAACCATCTAGAGTTCTGGAAACTTACAAAGAAGAAAAAGGAAAAAAAAAAAAAAAAAAGACTAAATAACAGGGGCAAGGGGGAAGTCATATAAAGATATTCCTAAGTGTCATACTCCTTTTGCAATGATTATTTTAATAATGGAACTAGGCTAGACAGAAGAGGACTCTATCACTTAAAATGGAAAGCTTTCACCTTTCATTTACTAAAAATGTTTCCTGATAATACATAGCAAATACGAAAATAAGCTTTCCAGGACCTGCTTGTGAATTAGGTTATGGGGTCAGTGACTGATACAAGCTTAGGAAAAAAGTTTTTAGCATTTTAAAACTTTTAAAAGCTTTAAGATGTGCTCAGTAGGACATTTAAGATGAAGAACAAAGTCTCACTTCATAGGTAAGTATCAAGTTTTGAGTACCATGCATCCTCCTGAAATTTACTTTTAATGAAGTTGTCGGGAACTTCACGATGTTCAGCTGGTTTAGTCACATATTGCTCCAGCTTTTAAATAGCTTTGACATATTGGTATTTACGGGCAGTCACATTCGATGCAAAGTAGTTTTCCCACATGTTTAGCAAGATGCTCGTTTCTAGTAGTAAGAAAATTCACACACAAAATCATCAGACTCATCGCAGGTAAATTCATGTTTGTTGGAGGTCTTAATAGTCTGGAAGACTGGCGTTGCTCACACCATTTTATCTGTTCATGTTTTTCTTCTCACCTGACAAAGTGGGGGTGTTTTTTTGTTTTTGTTTGGTTTTTTGTTTGTTGGTTTTTGTTTTGTTTTTGTTGTTGGTTGGTTGGTTTTTTAAGTAACCAGGAATGTTTTTCCCCGTACTAGAAGAAACTTCAAATTTGTTTGCTAACTGGAACAGCATCAATTTTACTGGAAGCACAAATCTTCAAAAATTATTATGTACTAGAGCTTACAAATTATTCATAAGATCGAAAGTTTACTGTCTTTCTAGGACATTTCTTTATATAACAGGAAGCTTGACATAAAACCACATGAAAGTTAAAGTTTCTTCAGTTTTACTGTTCATAGATTTCCTTGTCATTTGCACCTAAAGTCACCTAAACACTTCTCTCTTCCCCTTCTTCCCACTCCATCATACACTGTACTATGTCCAAGCTTAATGACCAGCACATGCTGACTAATAAGCTGGCAATTATGTTCTTGCATTTCTTCACTTGAGGCAGTAACTTAGATCTCCCTCTACCCAACTGGAAGTTTCCATAAAGTCTGCAGAACACAGTTTTCTTTATGATCCTCTGACTGACAGAATCAGCTAACTGGTTCAACAGGTTGTGATCAGAAAGAGACGCAGAAAGACAGATAAGTAGACTAACGGCACGGTCACAACCACCTCTTAGAAAAGACGTTTAAAATCGCTTTTTATTTGCAACTTTGACTTCTTAAACCTTCAGCATTCATCGTATCTCCAGTTTAGAAATCTAAACTTTCTAGTGCAGGAGGGACTTTTTGAACTTAACACTGTTCTGGAAAGAGAACTTAATTCCATCCCTACAAATTTGCTGACATCCTGCATGGATGCAGGGAAGTTCTAATCAGGATGTTCCAAACACGTGAACACTGTGCACATGCTAGAAGATTAGCATTCTACATTAGAAGACTGATTTTTTTTTATTATTAAGAAAACAGCTGGAAAACTGTACTTTCACTTCAGAAAATAAAACACAGAGTTCATACTCTCAGTTAAACTGCTGTAAAGAAGGAAGAATCATGACGTACTCTACATCAAAACTAAAATGAATAGCCCACTGCTCCACCCTTAGATAGTCTACTTAGGGTTTTATACAACACATACTATGCGTGTGTGCCTTGCACTTTATAGACAGTAGCTTTACTTTAAGATTCTAATCCAATGTTACAGCTTTTGACACTTCAGACATTTTCTTCTGCCTCAAAAGAGTAATACTATTCTATTGGACGTTGATGTGGTTTTAATACTATTCAAGCTTTATTATGTAAGGCATATACAAGATAATTACAATTCTCAGCCAAAGCAATTTGACTGTAACAAGCAGTTTAAGCAACTGTAAGAAAGCATCTCCAGTCCTCCTAACTATGGTGTGCTTGCTAACCAGGAAGCTTTGGCACCAAGTTCAAATATAAACCAGTTTTAGTGAACAAAATATAGGAGAACACATAGCCAAGAATAACTGAAATGAGCAAGTGCTTACCTTGACTCTCCACTACTGTTTCTTATGCTTTCCTCATCACTGTGCCCATTCATTGTAAATATTAAGAAGTTTAAAAGATAAATAAAAGTCCGTTCAGGTTACAGTGTGGATATCAAGAATCCACTTCTTGGTATTCTGTACGTTTTCCAGGTGATGTGTTTGCTTTAGTGTTCTTTGTGGGTATTCAAGATTTCTCAAAAAATACCTAAAACAGTAAAGGAAAACATTGATATAATTTGAAAGCATGTTTGCAACTAAAAAGATACCAAAAATAACTTGGTCTTACACTAACACTAAAACGGGGCATCATGTTTGACATCATGTTTAACTCAGAACCAGCTTTTTGTGTGTTACCTGTTCACGGTTGATCATTTTATCACCACTCTCATCTGAAAAAAAATTTAATTAAAATCTTTCCTGATGTCTGTGAAAACCAGAAAAAAATATTCTCAAGAGAAGAACACATCTTTTTATTAGTTACATTTAAAAAAACCTGAAAGAATTAAATTAAATACACAAAACACATGAAAGGAAAGACCTGTCTAGCTTTTTGTTCAACTGCAGTTGGGTCTCAGCATACAGACCACCATGCTTTTTGCAACTTTTCATTGATGGTGCTGAAAACATGGCAATTTCTGCTGAATGACTAGCTGCAGAGTAGGAAATGTTAAAGAAATTACATTCTCTTTAGCATTGCAGAGAAGAACTGCATGCCTGCACCATACCTCGTGGCTTAACTTTTGCCACAGTACTGACTTCAGCACAAAGTAGATCCAAATTTTAAAGAAAAGCTGCCTACCTGAACACACAGGTAAAAACCACAGATATTAATGTGCTGCTAAGATCTGCTTAGTAAAATGTATTTCATGCACAAAACATAGTGGAAGCATTTCCAGATACACACACGCTGCTTACATCCCGTTGTAGGTAGAGGCAGGAAGATAAAGACTGCCCCGTTTAAAACAAGTCTCTCTACTAAATCAAACCAGCAAGATCCCACAGACGGAACGATCGCTATTTCACATACAAGAGCATCTTAAAGCAGATCACTGCAGTATCCGATGCAGCTAGAGAAAGTTTAGGCTCATCGCAAATGGACTGCAAGTATAAACTCACTGATAATCAGATAAAGAGCAGTGCCTCTCACAGATTTAGTGGTGTGAAAGCGATTAGGGGCTCGCCTGCTGGCCGCTTGCCCCGAGGTGCTCTCCTCTAATATGCAACAGCCCAACACAGTGGGGGGGGGGGAAGCCTCCCTCCAGGGTGGGAAATGCTCTGCGCTCAGGCACCATCTCAGACACCAGGGCTACTCCGGGCAGCAAACAAAGGCGATGAGGGAGGGGAAAGTGATAGGGAAGAGCCCTGCAACCCCCGAGGGGCCGCGAAGCAAGGTCGGGGACCCCGGGCAGCGGCGGTGAGCCGGGCGGCTCCC